GGATGCCCGCTGTCTCCGAGTCTGTTTGCCTTAGCCATTGAACCTTTGGCGGAAGCAATTAGAAGGGACCCTGAAATAAAGGGCTTCAAGGTCGGACAGACAACCCATAAAATTAATTTATTAGCTGATGATGTTCTTTTATATTTAACAGACCCTTCTCACTCTCTCACTCGACTACAAGATCTATTGGACACCTATAGTATTGTTTCAGGATACAAAATAAACTATGATAAAAGTGAAATAATCCCCTTAACAACATTTAATTATCATGGGTATCAAGGTGCATCCGCATTCAAATGGGCCCTAACTGGAATAAAATATCTTGGTATAGTTGTGGATAATAACTTAAAAAAATCTTTATAGGTTGAATTATTGTCCACTACTTAAAAAAATTGAGGAAGATTTGCGCAGATGGACTAGTCTCCCCATTACTTTGATCGGGAGAATCAATTGCGTTAAAATGAACATTCTACCAAGATTGCAGTATCTTTTCCAATCATTGCCTATTCCATTACCCCAAAACTTTTTCAAAACTCTTAATAAAAATGTAAGACAGTTCATTTGGAGCAACAAGGTACCAAGGATATCTTTGGAGAAATTAACGTGGGACTATCAGTCAGGGGGGCTACAATTACCCAATTTTAGGAAATATTATTTTGCTGCCCAAATGAGGTTTCTTTGGTCTATGTCTGAGAAAGACACAATTCCATCCTGGGTTCATATTGCATTTCACTCCTTGAAAGATAACTCCTTTAGCGAATTTGTGTACAAATACAACTACCGAATTTTATCAAGGAAAACTGATAACCCAATTCTGTTACACCTTATTAAACTTTGGTATGATGTACATAAGACCATCGGCAAGGATATAAGACTGTCGCCAAAGTCACCTTTAAAACAAAACGAGCTTATCCCGATGACTGTAAATAACAAGATCCTGGAGGCATGGCATCACAGTGGAATTAATACGTTGGAGGATTGTTATGAGGATGGACTTTTCATGTCCTTTGAACAATTAAGGAGGAAATATAACCTGCCCAGCAATACTTTTTTTTGTTACCTTCAATTGCGATCCTTTTTGAGGAGCACTCTGAACGACAGCATGACTCTGCCCAAGCTCACGGAAATGGAGAAATTGATGCAAGAAAGTGGACAATGTAAGCTTATTTCCAAAGTGTACTCTTTGCTGATATCGGAATGTCCTAAACCTGATCTGTATAAGTCTAAGGGGAAGTGGGAATCAGACTTAGTTACCACAATTGAAGACCAAGTTTGGTCAGAGTTGTGTAAAGACAGTTTATCTGCCACTATTAATGCACGGTATAGACTTATCCACTATAATTTCCTCCATCAGTTGTATTTAACTCCGGAGAAGATTCATAAGTTCAAACCTGAGCTATCTGATGCATGCTTCCGCTGTACAATAGAGGTGGGCACCTTCCTACACTGTACTTGGTCGTGTGTAAAAGTAAGAGATTTCTGGATTGACTTTTGTAGTGTCTTGACTAAGATTACACAAATTTCATTACCGGTTGACCCAGAGTTTTGTTTGCTGGGGAACTTCATGAAAATTGATAAAATATTAAACAGGTTTCAGAAACATTTTCTGGAGATAGCTCTGGCAGTGGCTAGAAAATGCATTGCTGTCTCATGGAAGTCTGATTCCCCGCTATCTATAACTAGGTGGTATTTAGAAATGAATAGATGTGTGCCATTAGAAAAAATAACATATAGCCTTAGAAAGGGATACAATACTTTTATTAAAATCTGGCGACCCTATCTAGATCATGTGGATAATGTGATATTAGAATGTGACTGACCTCGAAGACATTGTTACATTACATTTCTACTGTAGAATATTGGAGCACCCTTTTGGGGAGGGGGAGGGGGATTGTTTTTCTTTTTCTTATTTTACTTGTTCTTCTGTTTTTGTTTTTGTATACTGAAAAACTGAAAATAAAGTATTCCAAAAAAAGGAAATGAGATACCAATAGCCTACATAGGGAAGAGCCCGGACGAATGTGATGTTTTGAAATCGCTGCTCTCTGGCTTTGAATGAATGTTCACATTCTACAATTCAGTACAAAATGTGGACTGATTACTAGCAGTGAAATGAGATCCTAACAGATATTAACAAAAGGTTTGACTCGATCCATTATCATATATTAGTACGATGTGATTAGGCTATAATGTGGATTATCTTTTAGTTGTCTATATACTGTAGAGTAGCCTACTACTGATGGGTACTAAGCGTTAGTTATGTTAATGGACAGGGTCCATTTTAATGTTTGCTTTCTTGTTCTTCCTTGTTCCCTTTTACAGGCACTTGAGAGCCCTGCAAGTGTGAATCCATAGCGCCCCCACTGTATTACACTGCTCAAAAAAAAACAAAAAAACATATCGGATCTCAAAGTATGTGTATGTTGTCAGTCATTGTACATTTAGGTTGAAATTGAGTGATGCTTGGCATTGAAATTATATCAAAATATGTCAATAAATTGATGTAATTTTTACATCAATGTTTAATGTCACATTTATGTTGAATTGATATCGAAGCTTGATATTGAATGATATCAAAATAGCATTAAAATGACATCAACATCATTACATCTTGACGTCAAATAAATGTTGAATTGACATCAAATGCCAACAAAGCATGACATCAAAATTACATCAGCAGAGGTCGTCAATTTGACTTTCATTTTTGACCTATTTCGTGACGTAATTTTGACATCAATGTTTGATGTCATATTACACACACAGAGACATATATATATATATAAATGAAAGTCAAAAGCACATTTTTAATCATACCTGGAAACAAATCCTGTGCAAATAGGTTATATGGGCCATTCAATAGAATTGGCTCAAAGTTAGAGTTGGAAACATCTTGAAAAGAAAATTGTCTTTTTCCATAAATCTCTTGTAAAGTATTATTTTTTAAAGTATGCCAATACATTTTTATTATACATATTTCAAAGTTAAGGATTCATTATTTTGATATAGCCTAGCTGGAACAAACACTATAACAGTTGATAAGTTTATTTTTGACAAAACATACTATATATTTAACATATGAGCAGAAACTGCTAACAAAAGCTTATTAGATATTTTAGAGTTAAAACTTTATAATCTATCCTAAACTAGTCAAACACACACACACACACACACACACACATACACACACACACACACACACACACACAAACACACACAGAAACATGATTCAAATTTAAACAGTAGGCTATTTTTGCGTTTACAGACACTAACGTTATTATATATCATATTCGCCTTATTCACCTGGCGGCCATTTTGAAAACGCGAACGCCGTTGAGGGGAACACAAACCCAGAAGTTTGACTCCGACGCAGCAGCACCAGCAATGGAGACTCCAGTGTGGACCACCAATCTTTCCTGTCTGCCCGAATTAACGATGCAAAATGTGGAGCAGTGAGCCAGTACTGACTGCAACATCCCCCGGGCTGTGTTAATTAAGGGATACAGTAACTGGTTCGAAGGTTTTATCCACGACATTGAACGTATGAATGGACGCCGATTTACCTCCGTTTCTGCTTATTAATAATTAATAATTAATTAATTCGGGCAGACAGGAAAGATTGGTGGTCCACACTGGAGTCTCCATTGCTGGTGCTGCTGCGTCGGAGTCAACTTCCGGGTTTGTGTTCCCCTCAACGACGTTCGCGTTTTCAAAATGGCCGCCAGGTGAATAAGGCGAAGGCGATTAGAACACACCACAAGAATAAAACACTTACAGCTCAGCTCGCTCCTCAAAGTGAAAATAAACCAGCACTTGTTCTGAGGTAGGTAAATGTCCCAGGATTATTCCTCACAGCCGCGCAAGACGACAGTACTACATTAATCTGACTAAATATAGTGTGTTTACAGAGTTTGTGTGGGCGTTTACACGTCTCAATGTGTTGCTTCAGATCATTAGCGTTTGAATAGCGCGCGCTCTCCGTGGGCGTGTAACATTAGCGGAATAATGAGATGCGAGAACGATAATGAGAATGGCTGACACCTCTCTCTTTTTATATAGATTACATAAACAGGGAATATTTATTTTAGTTTTAAATTAGATAATTTAAAAGTACAAACTTAAATGATCATAAACATATTGCTCATGTCTGGGTGAATAGCATTAGAGTTTTTTTTTTTTTTTAAGTTTAGTGCTCCAGAAAAAAAGTTCATGGACACGGAGAAGCAGAACGCACACCCTGTTTATTTTCTTTATTTTAAAAAAGCACAATATTTTATTTCGATTGTAGGTGGGCACATAAAAAAGTAGACATTTAACAGTTTTTTTAATATATGTTTCATAACTCTGTATGACCAGAAATAATGGAGTAGTTTAAGTCTATTTTTCTGCTATGTGAAAAAAATCTGCCAAAACGCACGGGTGCGTTCTTGGTCCCCAGAGGGTTATTATGCGTTTATGTGAGGTTTGTTTTAAGTTGACTTAAATTATAAGTTGTTATATTTTTTGAAGCCTAAGAAATGTTTCAAATTTGTGGGGGGAGAATAATTTTCATCGAGACATCAGTAGCTATATTAATATCAGAGATACTGGCCTTCATTCATAAGCAGATGCCATTAAACAATTATTTTAAATATACTGTCTTTATGTTGTTTCTACTACAGTGGAAATTGAGGCTCACATTATTTACATTTTTATTTACACACAAAACATTAATGGCTAACATTTTGACTTTATAAAATGATTCTCTAAAGTCTTGGTGAGCGGCCCCTATAAACAATAAAGAAAGTAAGACATATTTTCTTATACATATAGCCTACTATTCTTTTTGGCAGAATTTATCATTATAATAAAATTATTTCCTGATTTTTGTATCACCATAGGTTGAACGCCTTTGTGTCTATGCACTTTTGGGATTTAACACAGCAGCATGCGAATGGGACTTTTGTTTTAGATCGGCGCTATGACGTCAGCGGGTGCACGAAGAAGACGTCATAAGGCTGCGTCGCGCTCCTGCATCTGATCTGTTGTGATTCTGCTGATAAAAGGTTTGTGGCTTTCATGCTTTTAAATCAATGAAAGCCCCTTCTTAGACAATTGTATAGCTTTTACAATGACTGTGAAAGGAACTAATTAATATTGAATCTAACATAGAAATGGTTTATCTAACGTTATTTGTATGTGTAAAGCTCATATAGCCGCAAAAGTGCATAACAGTACATTTGTGTAAAATGTGCGTTTTATATTCGCTCCCACTCCCAATATCCTGACTCAACTTGATATTGTAAATGCGAATTCGGTCACTGGATAGTTATGATGGAGAAACAGGGCTTTTAAACTCCGAGTTAGAAACTCGTTTATTATACGGTATCGATGTTTTATTTCTTTTGGATGATTTATTGATTGTTTAACCACAATAAGTGTATCGTTTTGAATTAATTTTTAGAGTAAAATTGTACATAAAGACGTTAAGCAAAACAAATATGTTTGTCTGACAACCTTTTATGCACATAAGTTAACCGCAGACACTGAAATGACACTGTGTGCAACTATTTTGAGTATCCATTATTTTCCAATTGTTTTATTATTATTGTCCAATTTGTTTTTCTTTTCTGAAGTTGGCAACTGTAAAAAATGATTCACCCTATAATGATCTATTAAATGTGATCCACTAATCATTAAATACCAAATCTAAATAATAAGGAACTAATTGTATAGTTGGTCTTTATTAATTGGTAATGCTATTTTTCAGGTCATTATCTCACTCTGACTGACTTCTCTTACCAGTGTACTGAACTAGAGCTGATTGAGACACGCAGGGATTTAGTGTAAATCTATTTTTCTTTCTGGTAATTGTTCTTATCTTAAACATGACATATGTTTATACACAGAAAAACTCCCAGTTAAGCCACTGAGAATCATGTGCTATACAATTTAAGATGGTGTCTATTAAAGAAGAGAGTGAAGAAATGAGGATTGAAGAAGTATTCAGTGTGAAACAAGAAGATACTGAGGAACAAACCAAGATGGCGTTTATTAAAGAAGAGAGCGAAGACCTCAAGATTGAAGAAGTATTCAGTGTGAAACCAGAAGATACTGAGGAACAAACAAAGATGGCGTTTATTAAAGAGGAGAGTGAAGACCTCAAGATTGAAGAAACATTCAGAGTGAAATATGAAGATACTGAGGAACAAACAGGTTGGTTTCATTCTCAAAGCTGAACTCACTCATTTTATCCTTATTAAAATGTCCATCTCTACAGAAATGAAGAATACTTTTGATGAATGTCATACGAGTGTCCTAATTAAAGTTTTTTCTTTTTAATGTTGTTGAGAAGTTCATCCTTCCTTGTTGGACATTTTTATATTCAATTCAAATGTATATGTATAGCGCTTTTCACAATACATATTGTTTCAAAGCAGCTTTACAGAAAGTGCATTTCAGAAATGTACATAGAAAAAATACAGTTAGTTAATCATGTATTAATTTAGGGCATAACATATCGCCGGCGTCGAGTCGTCTCTTCACAGGCGTTTAGTCATCTCATCGCAGGTGTTGGGGCATCTGAAGTCTCTGTGAGAGGCTGGATACAAACTGGAGCTGACGAACGCTATTTACCGCAGAAAAGCAGATGGGAAATAATTAGCATATAATATAGGCTTTTATCCATCCGTGTGTCGTCACATCCTTCCCCGATTAGCGTAAAGGAATTTCCACCTGCATTATTGACAATTGACGAACGCCAGTTTTGAGAATAAAATTAATTATGTTTATGTTAAGTTAAACTAATTTAGTTTAACTTATGAAATGTTTTTTTAGACTTGCATGATACCCTACCATGCATGTCATTTTATTTTAATGTGTAACATCTGAGCAACTTGATTGTCAGAACACCGGTGCTGTAAACTGGTTATTTTTTTAATAATCTTCTATGGGCTGGAAAAATATATTTTTTTAAATAAAAATGAAATAACCTTTATTTAAACAACTTAAATTTGATCTAATTATAGATGATTGCATCGTAAGGTAAGTGCATGAATAAATGCCAACCTTATAGATTAATGCAATAAGTTTCTATTTGTAATGCTCTTAATGTTATCTGTTGTTTTTATCACACTCTTGCAGTTCTGTAATAAAATAAGTTGATCAGACTCTAAAGTATTGCGCATAAACGTACAGTATGGCTTACGCGCTTCCCTTAAAATCACGAAATATACCTCAGAATATCATGACACCTGTTTTCTTTATTTCACACTTTGTTTTGCTCAGTTAATGATTGTAAACTGTGGTTTTTAGAAGTATCTGCTGAATTTTACATTAAAAAAAATCAACAGTCCCATTGATACAGTCTGTAGCGGAAGTTTTTTCACGCTCCTATTTTAACGATATCTATCTAACTTTGAAAACAACATGCCCGTGTAAAGGTTTAGTGCAGGTTTTCTCTCTTTATCATACGCTAACTACGTTTCTCTGCTGGATAAAGCAAACCAGTATCTCAAAGACTGCGGTGACGTACAGGAGTTGTAAAGCAAGCATGCGTGAATCTGTTATATTGATGCGCAAACAAACCGTGTATGTGTTGTGTGCAGTCGACACTGTACATTGTATTTCATGCACCACATTTCAGGACTTTCATATTGTTTCCACACACATGCAGGATCATGTTGATTTGTCAGTTGTATGTTGCTGTGTTTAGTCATTCTGAATGGATCCGTGTGAACTGTATAGGCATATAACAGTCAGGTCAAGGCAGTTGGTTTATTTATTTTTTGCCATTTATATGTTTCGTTCAGTATCGCGACTTGTCTAAAATGTAAACAAGCTCTTTGCTGTTGCACTGTACATATACTATACTATGTGGCCCTCCATGGGTGTAGATGAATAGATGAATCTTTATTAAAGTAAAAAAAAAAAAAACATCACTCACTGCTCTTGGCTGAATGACTTTTGTGTGTCTTTTGTTGTTTGATTAACGGATCAAATAAAATGTTACACGTGTTTTAGTTGTAAACTGTTTACGTTCACTTAAGACATAACCAACTATGTTTCCAAGGATACTCACTAGGGATGGGAATCACAGGGTACCTCACAATACGATACCGATAATATCATCATGCTACAGCAATTCTGCGTTAATTGATCTATTGCTAGACAATCCTATAATGATACATCACGATATCTGTCTAACTATGAAATCAAAATGCCCGTAAAAAGGTTTAGTGCAGGTTTTCTCTCTTTATTAAAGTCGAACTGTATGAAAACAACCATTTTTTTCCCCGTCTGTAAATTAAATGTAACATTTTAAGTAAATAGACGCATGCTTTCATATGCTCTCGTGTGTGTCTGTGCAAGTGCTCGTTGCAGAGTGTCAAAGATGTCTGGTTACAATATGTTTGTCCAATCAATGGTATAAAAGCCAAAGTGCATCCAGACTTTGAACTTAAAAGTGGTTGGGGCATCTATTATTTTATTAACACTGCTGTCCGACATCCCTTTAAAATCTTTGCGCATCTACTAATTTGACAGTCATTTAAACAGAAGTTTTGTAACCGACTAGTCTAAAAGTAAAAAACCCTCTAAAGACGTGTGTATATATGATTCATTTGAACACTTAATCTTTGAATCAGTCAATCCTGCTAATAGTTTTTCACACTCCTGTCAACTTACTAAAAATCAAGAATGAAAACAAACACTACTAGCGATAGTAATGCGTTTTATGGTGTTATAGTATTTTAACTGAAAAATAAATTGTACAAACGTGCCAGAAATAACATTCAAAATATTTTTTATCACCTGATGTCACTTTGGCTTTAACAAATTCAAAGCTCCTGCTGTGGTTGTAAAAGGTTTTTTAGAGGCCATTGCACCACTTTGGTCTTTGTGTCGAACCAGTTCAATGGCAAAACTCCTTCCATCTGCTGCCCATTCTCCATCCAAACAGCCCGTGCGTTTACCATTGCCTGAAACACAATTAGACTATTTAATTTAGAACTACACATTTCCTTTTCTACATAATGCTAACAGTGCACTACTATTTTGAATAATAGTAAATATTACATACATTATTTGTATTTCCTGAGCTCCATTCCATGGTGGAGAGGAAAAAGGACATGCCCTTATTCAGAAGGGAGACAAGCAACCTTCCAGTAAAGGTCTTCGGATTGCAATAACTTTGTCTTTGTCCGTTTTCTTTGGACATAGACTATATTCAATATCCTTGACTCACATGGCTTCTTAAAGTCTCTTGTGTCCTTTTGGCTCAGCACAGCACAAAGTTCCATCTTGCCTTTTTTCCTTCACAAATGCAAAACCTTCATTGTGAAGCATAAAGCATATTACCTTTTGTACATATATAAAAACATGACCTTGTCTCTTGATGCTTGTTGATGCCTTTCTTTGCATTTTTTAATCTCACTCATCCACTTTGTTACTTGAGCGATTGGATTGTGGCTATTTTTGACCAATTTGTTTAATACTTGCAGATGATTTTCGAATGGCAAACATGAGATGTCATTTAGTGAACCGTTGAAGCGAGAAGCATCTTCATGCAGATGCAACAGGCAGTGCACATTGCAGACTGCAAACGTTTTTCCATAAAGGTCATCACACCTTTTAACAAAGTATTTTAGGAGTTTCTCAGCATATGCAATATGAATGCCGTGTGTTCTCATCAGAGCTCAGCAGGATTGACGGAGCCACTGTCAATGTCAAAAAGTGAGTATACACTTCACTTGAAACTGAATTTCGACAGTTTGTTGGTCCAGTATATAGTGGCTTTCCATCTATCCAGTTCACTCAAACCCCTGGGCTGACTTGCAAACTCACTTGGCATGAATCCATTCAGCTTGTTTAGTTTTACTGAGATCTTATCTTTTTGTCTTGCAGATAGCCAGCACACTTTCGGACCCCGAAACAAAAAACTAGAACACGTTTTACTACTCCTAAACAAATCAAATGCATATAGTCTAACAGAAAAATTACTGAAGTACACATTGTGGTTTTTTATGCACTTTAAAAATGATCTTGCTGGTGCATCACATATAAAGGCCATAAGGCTGATACCATAAACTTTATTTTCATACTCCATCCCAACAGCTTTGAGATGCTGCAACTCTTCCAAAAGGTCTTTAACAAAATTGCCCAAAGGACTTGGCTTCGCTTTTCCAAAGAAAAGTGCAACAATGAAATGATAGAATTTGTGAAACTGTGCCAATATGGGCCAAAATTGAACACTGTTTGATTTAAAAAGTGGCATGCCATCAATGTTCACACAACTCAAGGTTTTGTGAAAAGGATTGGCACTGTGCAATCTTTAGTCTTATCTTTGTTCTAAACCATAATAAATGTACTGCCCATTACATTTAGAAAGACATTCGATGATTTTGGGGGTTGCATGGAGTGTCCAAATCCTTAAATCACAGCCAAGATCTGGTGTATCATTATCACTGTCAGGGTGTATGGGATGGGATGGGATGGGATGGGATGGGATGGGGGTTGGGTGGAAAAACAAAACTTATTTACACATCAAAAAAATAAAAAACTTCAGGAAAGAAAATTTAACCCAAAAGTAAAAAATAAATGAAATGAATCAATGCCTGGCCATCAAATTTGCACATGACATTCTTTTTCATCAAAAAAGCCATATACATCTTTGATGGGTGAGAAAATTATTAGTAAATGTTCATTCTTGGGTTAATCATTTCATTTAGGGAGAATTTGATAAAATACACTTACCGGTGTTATTTTCTTTATTTCATCTATGTTGATTATATGAAAAGGGAACCGCATGAGATGAGTAAGATAGGATCATTAGATGACCAATATATCGGAAAACATTTGGAATGGGTCAGATTTTGATCTACTAAGTTTGTAGAAAGCCTTTCTTTAAATTTTATTTCGTTTTGTATAAATTGTATCTTCATTTTAATCAATGTTTCATCAACAAATTTGCCTGGATTAATAAATAAGAAGCAAATATAGTGGACAATATAATCAGGACACGGAGGCGCCGGCGCGTTTCTCGCGTTCACTACTGCGAAGATGGCGAGTCTACATCGTCAACTTTATCAATTTTTACAACTATTCAAATGTTTCATGCATAATCATTACTTTCGCCGGTTCTTTGTGGCAAGCTTTATTTCAGCTGTTGCGTGATATCTCTGCGCCCAAGTAGCAGTGCTTCGCCTGGGCTTCCCCCC